CCTGCATTTTCACCAGTATTTCTATTAATACTGAGGAGCAGTCACCTAGATCACAACTGCTCAAATCTGGTGCCAGAATTTGGTAGTGAATTCAATTTGAAACAGCTTAAGTGATAGAATGATTAAATATTATGCAAACAAATTAAATACTGTTACAAAAAGTTGGTTTTCCTGTGGGTAGAAAATCAGATCTGTGCTCTCATTATTTTTTACCAGGACTATTATAAGCTATTCCTTCTGCTTCTAGTCTCTGCCATCTTCAATGAATTGTCAACCCTTCTGAAACAGGAATATATAAACATGGTCCCATCCTCGCCATGATTAACACTATTTGAAATACTTCATGTTGACTGCAGCTAACATCCAAATTCCTTACAGTTGCTTTCAGGATCCTGCATGATCTGTTTTCAACCTACAGACTCATCTATAAAGGCTCCCCTAACTCTTTCAGACGAACTTAGTCATACTTCCTTCGGGCTTACATGGCCTGTGTGACATCCATTATGTCACTTGTCTCATTTGAATCTAATCATTTTATATATGTGTCCACTGGTCTGTGAACCCTTAAGGGAAGAGACTGTCATTTATTCATGTTTTTATCTGAAGTGTCTCTCCCTTTCCCTTATACCATTCTGTCTCTCCTATTTCCCTACCTCTTTTCATAGAGGATTTGACAGGTCAAAGGAAAACAAATAACAACAATATCAGCAAGAAATACAATAGCATTTATCAGACCAGTGTTATGATCAGATATAATGCTACACTAAGAGTTTTTCATAGATTACTAATTTAGTTCAATACAAAGTATTTTTCTCCCACATTACTACACATGAGAAAAAATATCCAGTGTCACACAATAAGGAGCAAAGATGATATTTGAACATTATACGTTTTGTGATGTATAAAATGTGACATTCAATATTCAAGAAACAACCATCACGTGTGAGACAGTAATGAGCTTATAATGTAGCCTAACTGACAAATAATACAGATATTTATACAAAGAAGCTTACTTGACTATTAATACTCTACCATCTTCCAGAAAGCCATTTATATGTAAATACTCTGTGAGGTCTTGATAATTGTACTTCCTGAGTATTGATAAGACAATATAGGGCAAAAGTAGTAATTAAAAATATTGAAAAAATTATTAAATTCATGTGTGATAGTTCCCTAAAATCTTATTTCAAAACAGGTTAGGGGAAAGGTAATAAGGGAGAAGAAAAAAAATATGAGAAAATGAAAAAATGGGAATAAAGGGTTTGTAAATGAGGAGGGGAGGAGGGGTGAAGGGAGGGCAGGGACAAGGGGAAAAAATGAGAACCAAGACCTGTCATGTGTCATGTCAAGATCCCAATAATGAATGTAACTGTACTGTATACCTAAAATGTACCAATAAACTCAATAAAAGGAAAAAGAAAAACATCTCCAGCATCTCCAGGTATAACAATATGCAAGGTCGTAGATTACCAAAAATAGACGTTGCTTAAAGAAATTTATCCATCACGTTGGAATGAAGAGAATGGCCTTTACCAACTACAGTATCATTTAATTGTGTTTTGATTAATATTGAGTTTCCCCTATAAATAGATCCTGAGACAATAAAACTGACTGCAAGAGTTTTATAATTATTCCCCTCCTGCAGAGTAATCTCAACAAATATTGAAGTACAGAGAAAAATATAAGAAATAGAATTAAAAAGGGAAAGTACCCAAGAAAAGGTGTAATCAAGCTGCTTATCACGGTGGAAACTGATAAGTTTCCCCTGCTGGGAAATTCTGGGAGATAAGGGAGCATTTCAGACTTATCACATCTTCACACCATAAGAATATGGTCCAACTTTCAATTTTTACAGGTTAATACCTGTTCCAGTGGCATTAATTTCTTCCGTAATTTGAGATCTTTCCATTGTTCAGAAATGTGAGAAAGCATTTAGTTGGCTCTCCACTGACACTTTTATAATAGGACCCACTAACCAAGTCATACATTTATTTTTAAATATATTTTGAACCTGTTTTCTATAGTTTTCATATTCTCACTTTCCAAATTGGCTGTCAAATATTCCTATGGTTCTCTATTAAAATTCTACATTCTACATTTCATTTCAAAATTTAAACTGTTTCTCACTTTGTATTTCTCATTGTATTGTAAATATCTTTAAGTTAAGGAAATAAGGGAAAAGAAAAAATTGCAAAAAGAAAAAAATGGAAACAAAGTGTTTGTAAATAGGGAAGGGTGAGGGGATGAAGGGAGGGCAGGGGACCGGGGGGAAAATATAAGAACCAAGAATCATCATGTAAAGGTACAAAATCCCAATGATGTTAATATTCCTTGGGGTCTCAGGAAGATTCATATTCTTTACAGCTGATACATCACGGGCTGGAGCTCCTGCTAAGACTTCTCCAGTTTCTTTTGTGCATCAATTTGTGTAACAGTTTCATTCATGTTGGTCTCTAAAACCATCCCACCATCACCATTTTCGCAAGAATACCGTGAAACTTGTCTACATGGAAAATTAAATCCAGCTCACAGACATTTGCAAAACATTCGTCTAATGTTTCCACAAGCACTTGAATTAAATCTAAAATGCCACATTCACTTTCTCTATAATCCACACAGAAGACAAAACACAGTGCTGCATAATGTCTATAAATCAGTTTGCTGTCAGATCCTACAATTAATAATTCTCCTTCTAGGAAATTACAAACATTTTTATCTCTCTTAGATACCAAATGGAAAGTCTCAAAGTGCTAAACCTGCCCTCTTTTAAATAAAATATTAAACAGGCCACTCCAAGGTAAAATCCAGGGGAAAAGTCATCTAAGTTTACCATACAATTGTTTACCAATAACAGGGGAGGAGAGTCTTAACTTTTGCTCTTGGATTTAAGTCAAGGTACTGTATAGAAGTTGTGCGAAATCAGTGTGTAAGTACAGTTTTGATTTTCTTGCTCAGTGATTTTAAAGAAATTGTGTAGCTTCAGTGTGATTTTTTTTTTCTTTTCTAAACTGCATTCCTATGCCCACCTAAAGCCTGACACTGTGTATTGGCTATTAGAGTATTTTGAAAGTGAAGTATTTCTTTATTTATGTACAACCCAAACTGTTGGTGTTTTGTATGGATCACAAGTACAGCAATCCTTAATTCTTTCTACTATTTTTCACAATCGTTATTTAAAGAACCAAGTATGTATTGCATGAAAACATCATGATCGTTTCCTCTTAGTTTAAATAAACTCAAAGATCACTGGATTTCTAAAGCACCTTTCTGTGTGCCTGATATCTACTTTAACAATAATTTTTTTGCTACCTCTGACTCAAAAAAGTAAATAAAGGTCTATTTTATCACTGTTAAAAAAATCCCAATGATGAATGTAACTGTATTGTTTACCTTAAATATACCAATAAACTTAATGAAAAAAAGAAGAACTAAGCTTTGATTATTGTTTTCATCTTTGGATTCTGGCTCATATCAGACTTTCAGAAAACCATCATGACTTGAATGGAGGGATGGATGAATGAAAGAATAAAGGCACGAGTAGAAAGAACACGTTCACATTTCGTGTGTGGTTACAATTTTAGGTCATGCAGACAGAAATCACTGAAAGCATTTTAAAGCAACAAAGCATTTATTACACATGATTTGTCTTGCAAGTGCTTCGTCTGTTTTTTTTTTCTGACTAGATTTGATACGATTGGTAAATACATTCACAAAGTAACGTGCATATTGATATTTATAGATGTTATTCAAATGCAGTTCTTATTTAATTAATAAGTACTTGTTATGTACAATATCTTGTTAAGAGTAATTCGCTTTCTTGGAAATATCAGTTGCACTCCCAGAACACTGTGAGATACAACAGCTGGTGCAAAAGGTGCAATTATCCTGAAATTGATATTATGGGACCACGATTATCTTGGGCCTCTTCCTTAGTTCAGAAGAATGAATAGCCCTGCATAATTAGGACCAAGGTGTACTGAATTGCACTGACAATATTTTCCAGATGTGTTCATTATTTGTGAAGGCATCTGTCTCACTAAACTTTTGGAAATTACTGAGTCCTGTCTTATATGATTTAAGTTATCCTACTGTGAAAGTCACAATTCTATAGTGTTTGTATTCCCATATCTTGGAATCATTTTGATAGTTTTCCCAAGTCTTTGTCTTTGAAAATATAAAAATCTATTTGTTTGATTCATAAATATTGTGTATTTTAGATTAAATAAGTCATAAAGAAGCCCGATAAAAAATCATTTCTGCTTTTTCAGGTTACTTCATAGGGAAAAAATTAACTAGAGCTTTCTTTTTAAAATTTCCATTGGGAATATAACCGCGCCATGGTTTGGATCTTAACGTGACATTACCATGTGCTTCTATTCAGTAAATGGTCATTTGGTATTAACTTCATTTATTCTACCGAAAAACTGCGGGTTCCTCCCGCCATAGAGCTATGCTGTCCAGCTAATGAAACACTTCACAATCAAAAAAGCATAGCGGGGGATTTAGCTTAGTGGTTTTGCCTCCTGCATCGCAAGCACAAGGACCCGAGTTTGATCCCTGGTACCAAGAGAAAAAAAAACAAAACAACAACAACAACAACACACAAAACAGCACAATTACTACAGAAGTTAAATTTTCAAAACTCCTTGGGAAGCCCATATAAACCTTAACTATGGACTCAGTGGAAACCATTTTAAATCATATTGTTTATCCGTAATTCTGTGATATAAAAGGAAATATTTTCCTAACAAGAACACAACATTTTAACATCTTGACTTATTTGTGCCCCTGATACAAAGAGAGTAATTGTTTCATTAGAATGAGTGTGAAAGGGCTCATTAAAAGTCCATGAATGATGAAAGTTATCATTACTATGTACAAGTTCCGGTAGGAAAAGTGTTTTTCACCATTGTTTGATAATGTAGTCACTAAATTGTGGGATGCACTATATTATAATTTTGCATTTGATATAGCTTTTTTTCTCCCTCCATCATTTACAGCTGTAAGCACAAGATGTACCTGGAAAGGCTGCCAAACACCAGCATCATTATCCCATTTCATAATGAAGGTTGGACTTCACTCCTGAGAACCATACACAGCATAATTAACCGAACCCCAGAGAGTCTGATAGCAGAAATCATTCTAGTAGATGACTTCAGCGATAGAGGTAAGATGCAGTGGATAACATTTTATCTGATTCTGTTATCACCCACAGAATGATTAAGGGCCTTTAAAAAGGCAGATAGTGAAATATTCTTTCTGATTCCATCTGAAAAGTGATTATGAAGTTGCATCTACATTGTGATTTCAGAAAAAGTTGGACAATTGCAAAAGAAATTTAATGAGGGACTATTGGTATCATTTGGGGAACCACAAGAAATTTGCACTACATTTATGTTGTAAATTAGACAGATGTTGGCAAAATGTCTCAAATTCTACTTTCAACTTCAAGAGATATGTTGCAAAATATAATCTTGTAAGTATATATATATGGTGGAATATTCAAGTGGAATTTTAAAGTCTGTTCCTATTCCTGAAAAGTATATCTGCTCTATTATTACCAGTATGATGTTTCTAGGTTGTTTGTGTACCTTCATGAATATTATAAATTATAAGTAACACATATGGATTTTTTTGGCAAATCTAGCCATTGTATACCTTATCTGAAAAATAATAAAGACAATCTTGTAGAGCTATATATTAGAAAATTTGATCAAGTTTTTAAATTTCTTGTCATTCTAGTGAAGCACAGTTTGGTTTAGGAAATAGTGCATAATATTATAGAAAATTTTCTAAGAAGAAGAGTTCACAATATTTGGTCTAAATTATTAGTTAATACTTCAGGGACAATCAAGTCCATCTTTCTCAATTTGTGGAAGAGAGAGGTAGCCTTCAAAACGATACTCATTTATTTGTCAATATAATTTTCTCTCTCATATTTCATAAGGAGCTTCACTGTATATCTGTGAGAAAGAACAATAAAACTGTTTGCTTGAATATTATCCTTATGTCTCAAAAGAGAAAATATTGAGGTGATATGGATTAATTAATTTGTAAAAATTTAATTCTCAGTGAAGCACCATAGTAGTCAATATTTCTGTAAAATGCTGGTTACTGTGTTAATATTAAGGTGTTTTTTACAGAGTTCTATCTTCAATGATTTGTTTTAAATGATGATTCAGAAGTTGCCTGGCAGGTTGGGATTTTATATGACAAAAATAAGGTTATTCTTTGAGGACATAAATTACCAACATCATCATTTTGGCTTATTTCAAAAAAGGTTTTGCTTTGTGTTTCTTAGGCAGACTGGCATTCAAAGCCACCTGAGAACATGCGTCACATTCCACAACTGAAATTTTCAGACCCTTTAAAGCCAATTCAAATAGCACAGTCATTTCATTTGCTGGCAATTAAGGCTAATTTATTCAAAGAAGTCATTATTACAGAGCTAAAAATAGCCAATTAATGTGTTAGTAAAGCTAAAGCTTTGTTTGTTACTTTGATATATGTGTGTATGTGTGTGTGTGTGTGTGTATCTCATATATGACAGAGAGAGCGAATAAGAATGATCTGGAGCTACAGATCACCAAGGGAATGGTCTTCTTGGTTGACTGATACCATAATAAATATATCTTTCAATAAATTACTCCATAATTCTACTGATTATAGCAGAATTTTGGCCTGGGGATAAAAATAGTAAGAATTGCTTGGTAACAGAAGATGTTGTTTGGAGAACATTTTTTTACTGAATATTTCTCAGAGCCATTTTTTTCAGCTTTAATTGAGTTTATTGGTACATTTTAGGGATACAGTACAGTTACATTCATTGTTGGGATCTTGTACCTCTACATGACAAGTCTTGATCCATTTTTGAAATGAAAGTCTGCAAAAGGGAAGAAAATAATGACACCTCCATTCTTTTTGCGTCAAATTGCTGTCACTTTTGGTGCAGTATCAAATTCTGTGAACCATCCTTCTAGTAATATTACCAAGGGAGTACGTAGACTGTTAGTTCACTCACTGTTAGTGAAGTGGTACAACACATAAAGGATTATTTGACATAGTAATAGTGATATTTTACTTTTGTATTAGACATTTTTAAGGATAGTTACTATTTTTAATGCTTAGGTAAAGCTTTCATTTAGATACTCTATTCCTATAAATCAACAAGTTGAAAGTGTTATTTTATAATCAAATGTAAAAATATATTTTGAAAGAAATAAATGATTTTTTAAAATTTCCATAGAACGGGGTTCTGCGACGTATCCCTATAATACAAACTACTCAGGAGGTTAAGACAGGAGGATCACGGCTTCCATGATCCAGGCCAGCCTGGGCAATACACAGAACCTTGTCTCAAAATCGTGAAAAAAGACTGGGGGTGCCGATCAGATGTTGAGCCCTTGGCTAACATGCACTAGTCCTTTGGTTCCAGCACGACAGAAAAGAAAAAGAAAAATACTTCTGTAATATTTTGTAATACTTTATCATTTTAAGGTTGTGTAAAGTAAGAATGACCCTCTTTCCAAATTTTTGTTTGGATTGTAAGCTCTCTTTGATAAAATCATTTGGTGTGTACCAGGGCTTGAGTGAACCTTGGGAGCATCGTTGCTGCTTTCTGAATTCTGGGAAGTGTGAAGAATTATCATAATGAGCCCAGTCACAGTCTAATGCCTATTAATAATTGTGTGGCATGGAGTAAGCTGACTTCTTAGAATCTTATCCTTTCTATCACAATGAGGAAAAGGATAGTAATTCCTCTAGAAAGTCTCTGATGCAAAGGAGGCATGGATGGCTAACTAAATTGTGCACCACACAGGAGAGCAATTGCTCTCAGCTGTTGATGTCTACCACCAAACGCTCACTACTTCTCTAACATAAACAGACCCCTTACTTTTTTTAGGAGATCCTTTCAATTTCATCAAACTGACTTCACAGAAACCTATCAATCATCTGTCTATTATCTATCTATCTATCTATCTTCATCATCATCTATAAAAACACTAAGTTATTTAGAGAATATGTGAAAATGAATCATAGTTATGCTAATCTATTTTGAAAAATCAGAACTCCTTTAAGATGAAAACCTCTATCTAACATGACCAAAAAGCTATAACAAATATTGAAATACAACTTCTAAGAATTTAATTTAAAAAGATTATGTTGTTTATCTAAATTGTCTAAGTGGTCTTAAATGAGTGCTTAGTAGAATTCTTTGCAAGATTGTTTTCATTATCACAGAGAAAGAAGCTACCATAGGACATTTCTTGTTTACAGGCCCTCTAAAACAGAGAAGTCACCTGTATTCCTTTTATTATAACTGTGCTATTAATGCTGTAATTAATTTATGTTCTTTTTTATAATCTCAACAATTACAACTCTATAAAAGTCTGTTCATCAACTCTTTAAAATCATATTAAACAGCTTTGGAAAATTTAAATGCAGGAAGGTAAAAGAAATTTTTTTAGGAAATTATTTCTAAAGTTCTATACTTTTGATCTTCAGAAGAAATACATTCCAAACCCAGTTCAGTACAGTATGCAGCTTAACCATTTTGCACTATACTTGTTCCAAATAATCTGTGTATCCTTCAGCCAAAAGTAAGAAAATATTGATAACACTGTCCAATATTTCTGCCTTATATATGTTTCCCAGGTCAAAAAATAGCTACACTTGATGGGAAAAAATAAGAAAGCCAATGCTTTAGCTTTTTTTTATTAACAGAAGTATGGTATTATTTGAAATCTCTATTTCCAATAAATGTAAAAATTGTAGTGGTTTCCCAGTTTTATAGTAAAGAAAAACACTAAAATATTTTATATTTCTGCAAGTATCCTGAATTATCACCAAATAATTTCTTAAAATTTGCCTGAATAGGATTGAAATAGTTCTTGAAAGAATTTTAAAGCCAATACCTTATCCAGGGGTACTAACTTTAGATATTTTTCATGAAGCAAGCTTTGTATCAAGAATATTGTTTTAGCTTTAGAAAATAAGCCTCCCATCTCTAAACACAGGAAGGTATAAGCCTGCAGGTAAGTTTGCAACCACCACCACTGTGTTTGCTATTTGAAGTTTATTAAATAAGAGAAAGTGTGACTTCTTCCCCCAGTAAGTTCTCAGAAATACAGTTAACAACTTAACTTGAGGCCTATAACAAGGCTTCATGATGACTTTAAAGCAGGACTAATCCTGGGCTTATCTCCAAATTCCAGGCAACCTTAACAGCATCCACATGGAAACTGTTGAAATGTGTGAAATAAGCTGAGGCTTAACCTCAGAGATAGGGTATATTTGAACCTGACATTTCTCTAAACTTTATATGCTTAGCTGAGTTCAAGTCCAAATTGAGGATAGTCACAGGAGAGCTGTGACACACTTCTCTTAGTGTACAGCACATTGGTAGGTTCCACTTTGCACCCAAGTACAAACAAATGCAAATACACATGCACATACTGAGCTGCTCTTGCCTCTCCTTGTTTCAAACCTTCTGGTTTTTTTTTTTAACAAAGGAAGGTAGCTATGCATTTGAATTTCACGAAGATCCGTCATTGTTTATATGCCAGTTGAAAAACCAGAAACTTGAACTACCCTTTAAAAATAGTAAAGCTGGCAATTTTAAATAAATGTGACTTTGTTTTTCCTCTCACATAGTGTAGAATCTTGCTATTCAGTGTGTAGTCCATGGACAAGCAGCCTCAGCATCTCCTTCAAGCCTGTTAGAAATACAAGACCTCAGATCTCATTTGATAAATCACAATTGTCATTTCAACAACTAATTTTGCACAAGTTAAAGCATGAAGTTACTGTTAAGTATTTCAAAATTGGCTTGAAGTACCAATGAAAATGTGAATATATATA